ATAGCAGCCAGGGCTGCCATGGGTTTGGGGCTTTTTTGGGACTGGGGGTCTTTTATGGGAAATGGCAGCCCAGGCTGCCATGGCTTCGGAGCTTTTATGGGATTTGGGGCTTTTGTGGTAAATGACAGCCCAGACTGCCATGGATTCAGGGTTTTTTATGGGATTTGGGTTTTTTATGGGAAATAGCAGCCGGGGCTGCCATAGGTTTGGGGCTTTTATGGGATTTGGGGTTTTTGTGGGAAATGGCACCACCAGAGGCACTTCGCGTTGGGGTGCCCCGGGATCCCCGAGCTGGGCTGCAGGCGCTGCTTTCCCGCAGGAGCTGCGAGGGGCGGCCCGGCCCCTCCGGGCGCACGGAGCCCCCGGCGGCAGCACCCGGGGCACGGCGAGGTGGCTGTGATTAAACACAGCCCTTAGTGCTCCCAAAGCCGGCATTCCCCCACACGGCCGCGATTGTGTTTGCACTTATTCAATTTGGAGCTCTTTTTTGAAAAGCGTGGAGTCTGGAATGTTTGTTCTCCGCTTTTTTTCACATCATTACTCTGATACTGCTTGATTAGCTCCCTCCCCAGTCATGATTGGTAATTAAAATAGGCATTAAAATTAGTCACTTAGCAATTTTGCTGTTCAATTGGCAATTAAATTACTTAATTGCAATTAAAGTCCTAATTTTAATTGGCAAAATGATAGATGTAGATTTAAGATAATATGTATAAATACTTTAATAAGTGTCTATATAAGGATTACTTAATTACTCAACTTCAAGTTTATGCTGTTAACTTTAGAACTTTTAAGTGAGTAATGAAATTTATATTACATCTATTCTAAGGATATGGTAATTAGATGTATCACTCAGCCCTATGAGGGCCTTGGCTGGAAGTTGTGGTGTGGAGCTGTGGGCTGGACCAGCTGTCGGGGTGTGACTGACGGCGATGGCTCTGAGGCGCTGCAGCTCAGGGAGGCTGCCTGAGCTCCTCCTTTGGGGAACCCCACAGAGACAACCCCAGGAAATGCTGTTCTAAACAGCCCTGGGGTGTCTCAGCCCTGGGGTATTCATTACTGACCCCAGAAATGCCATTCTGGACAGTCCTGAGGTGTCTCAGCCCTGGGGTATTCATGAAATGAATTCTGTCCAGAATTCTGTCCAAATATTCTGTCCAGAAATGCCATTCTGGACAGCCCCCAAGTGTCTCAGCCCTGGCATGTTCCTTTAGTGACCCCAGAAATGCCATTCTGGGCAGCCCTGAGGTGTCTCAGCCCTGAGTTGTTCCTTACTGACCCCAGAAATGCCACTCTGGGCAGCCCTGAGGTGTCTCAGCCCTGGGGTGTTCCTTCTGCAGGAGCTCTGTAGGATCAGGAGAGCACAGTGTGGGACAGTGTTTCAGAGTGGGAGCAGTTGGGGTTTCCCTGCTGTTTGTGGGGTTTCTCTGGTGTTTGTGGGGTGGCTCCAGTGGCAGGAGCACGTTGGGAAGGTTTTCCTCAGTTTCCTGGGAAATCTCAGTGTTCCCGGGCAGGGCTGTGGGAGCCAGCACTGGCTGCTGGGCTGGGCTGGGGGGTTTATCCTGGGTTGTGGGGATTTATCCTGGGCTGGGCTGGGGAGTTATCCCAGGCTGGGCTGGGGGATTTATTCTGCACTGGGCTATGGGGATTTATCCCGGGCCGGGCTGTGGGGATTTATTCTGGGCTGGGCTATGGAGTTTCATCCTGGGCTGGGGGGTTTATCCCAGGCTGGGCTGGGCTGAGCTGTCGGGTTTTATTCCAGGCCAGGCTAGGGGGTTTATCCCAGGCTGGGCTTTGAGACTTTATCCCGGGCCAGGCTGGGGGGTTTATCCTGGGCTGGGCTGGGGGATTTATCCTGCACTGGGCTATGAGGGTTTATCCCAGGCTGGGCTGGGGGGTTTATCCTGGGCCAGGCTGGGGGGTTTATCCTGGGCTGAGCTGGGGGATTTATCCTGCACTGGGCTATGAGGATTTATCCCGGGCTGGGCTGGGGGGTTTATCCTGGGCCAGGCTGGGGGGTTTACCCTGGGCTGAGCTGAGGGTTTATCCTGGGCTGAGCTGGGGGGTTTATCCTGCACTGGGCTATGAGGGTTTATCCGGCACTGGGCTATGAGGATTTATCCGGCACTGGGCTGGGGGGTTTATCCTGGGCTGAGCTGGGGGGTTTATCCTGCACTGGGCTATGAGGGTTTATCCCGGGCTGGGCTGGGGGGTTTATCCCGGGCTGGGCTGGGGGGTTTATCCTGCACTGGGCTATGAGGATTTATCCCGGGCTGGGCTCTGGGCATTTATCCCGGGCCGGGAGCTGGTTCTGGCCCCGGGCTGTGTTCCTTTCACCCCTGAGACCATTGTTTGCTTTTTTCCAGGCCGGAACGCAGCGGTGGGAAACGCAGGGCCGGAGAGCAGAGCCCAGCCAGGGGGAGGCCGTGTCCCTGTCACCCTCCCGAGCCGGGTCCGGCGCCGCCGGGGCAGCGGGGAGCCGGGACCGCGGGCTGGCCTTGGATGAACGCAGCGCCTTCACCTGCACCGCCCCGCCCCGTGCCCGCCCCATCCACACACCTGGGACTGGGCTGCGAACGGGGGAACCCGCGGGGGCTCTGGGGAGAGGCAAAATAAAATAAAATAATAATTTAAAAAAACGATGTGCATTTAAGTAAATAAATATCGGCCATTTAAATGAATAAGTCTAAAATAAATAAAAATAAATATTTATTAATATATAAATTTATTAATAAATTTATTAATAAGTTAAATAACACAAAAAAGTCGAATAAAATAAAATATAAAGCCCGGAAAATAATGAATTAAATTAAGCAATGAAATAAATAATAATAAAAGCTAATACAATAAAAACTAATAAAATAAGAAATAAAGAATAAACAGAAATAACTAAAATGAAAAATTATACAATAAATAAATCCAAAATAAAATAAAATCAATACAACATATAAAAGAAAGAAAATAATAAAATAAATTAAAAATAAAGTTAATATTGAAATAAAACCAAAATACTAATAGAATAAAATAGATTAAATTTCAGGTGGGAAGTGGAAGCGGGCGCACATTGGGCTCCTTTTGTGGCCTTGGCCTGGCTCTGTCCAGGCCCTCCTCTGTCCCTGTCCCGGCTCTGTCCCATTCCCTGCTATGTCCCATTCCAGGCTCTGTCCCATTCCCTGCTATGTCCCATTCCAGGCTCTGTCCCTGTCCCAGGTCTGTCCCGGCTCTGTCCCATTCCCTGTTCTGTCCCGGTTCTGTCCCATTCCCGGCTCTGTCCCGTTTCTGTCCCGGTTCTGTCCCATTCCCGGTTCTGTCCCGGCTCTGTCCCATTCCCGGCTCTGTCCCGTTTCTGTCCCTGTTCTGTCCCATTCCCGGCTCTGTCCCGGCTCTGTCCCATTCCCGGCTCTGTCCCGTTTCTGTCCCTGTTCTGTCCCATTCCCTGTTCTGTCCCTGTTCTGTCCCATTCCCGGCTCTGTCCCGGTTCTGTCCCTGTTCTGTCCCATTCCCTGTTCTGTCCCGGTTCTGTCCCATTCCCGGCTCTGTCCCCGGCCGGGGTCGCGGTCGCGCGCGCTATTCCGGGGTTCGCGTCACGGTGACGCGCGCGGGGGGGCGGGGGCGGCACCGCCCTCTATGCAAACGAGGCCACGCCCCCGCCCCGGCGCGTGGCCGGGGCGCGTCCCTCCGCGTGACGTCACCGCTCGGAAACTTACCAAAAGGGCGCGCTGGCGCGCGGGGGGGGCGTGTCCGGGGCGGGCCGCGGGCGGCGCGGATTGGCGGGCGGCGCTGACGCGCGGTGACGCGCGGGGGCTCGCGGCGCACGTTGGTCGGCGGCGGCCGCGGCCACATAAACAAAGGCACATTGCGGGCGGGCACAGTCCGGCCGCCCGCGCCGCCGCCGCCGCCGCTCCGCCCGCCGCTGCCCGCTCTTGGATGCGCGCCCCGCGCTCCGCTCCCCGGTGAGTGCCCGGCCCGGCCCGCCTCCCGCGCCCCCCTCCCGCGCGAGGCGCCCCCGACCCGTGCCGTGCCGTGCCGTGCCGTCCCAGCTGCTGGCGGTCCCCGCTCGGGTTGGTCCCCGGACGGGACGGGTGGCGCTGCCCGAGGACGCGTGTGACCCGCGGAGCTGCCGCGCCGAGCCGGGTCCGCCCGGGCTGGCTGTCACCCGCGCCCCGCTCTGGTGCCGGCACCGCCGCGCCGGGAGCCCCGCGCCTCGCCCGCTCTCCCCAGGGACGTGCGGCGGTTCCCGGAGGGCGTGGGGAAGGGAGCCTGGCAGCCGGTGACAGCCCGCCCGCGGGGAGCCGCCTGCCCGCTTACCGAGAGATAACCCAAACCGAGCCCGACCGGCTCCTCCAGGGGCGCGGGACGGCCCTGCCCGGCACCGCTCCGCTCCCGTGAGCTCCGCAGGCGGGGCTCCCCCGAGCCGGGCGGAGCGCGGCGGCTCCGTGTGTCTGTCCGCGCTCAGGCGGCTCCGTGTGTCTGTCCGCGCTCAGGCGGCTCCGTGTGTCTGTCCCTCCACCGGCGCGTCCGTGTGTCAGTTCCCCGCCGGGGCTGCCTGACCGGCGGGTCCGTGTGCCTGTTCTCCGCTCCGGCTCCGTGTGTCTGTCCCCGCACCAGCGGGTTTGTGTGTCAGTCCCCCGCCCCTGCTGCCCGATCGGCGGGTCCGTGTGTCGGTGTGTCCGTCCGTTCACCGGCGGGTCCGTGTGTCAGTGTGTCCGTCCGTTCACCGGCGGGTCCGTGTGTCAGTGTGTCCGTCCGTTCACCGGCGCGTTCGTGTGTCGCTGTGCCCGTCCGCTCACCGGCGCGTCCGTGTGTCGCTCCGTGTGTCGCTCCGTGTGTCCGTCCGCTCACCGGCGGGTCTGTGTGTCGCTCCGTGTGTCCGTCCGTGTGTCGATCCTCTCACCGGCGGGGCCGTGTGTCGCTCCGTGTGTCAGTCCGTGTGTCGGTCCGCTCACCGGCGGGTCCGTGTGTCTCTCGCAGCCGTCGCGCCGGGCAGGCTGGAGCCGCCGCCGCGCTCTGAACCCGCGGACCCCTCGCTCCCCGCCGCGCTCCGACGCTGTCCGCCCTCGGCTGCCCCGAACCCGCCTCTCCCCCGGCTGAAGGTTGGTGCGCTCCGTCCCCGCGGCCCCGGCGGCAGCCCCGGCGGGGCAGGGCGCTCCCGGCGCTCCCGGCGCTCCCGGTGCTCCCGGCGCTCGGCCGCCGTGGCCGGCGCGGGGCGGCGCGGGCCGAGCCTACCTGCCGCTGTTTCGTTCGCAGCCATGCCCTGTGTTCAGGCTCAGTATGGGTCCTCGCCTCAAGGAGCCAGCCCGGCCTCCCAGAGCTACAGCTACCACTCCTCGGGAGAGTACAGCTCCGATTTCCTGACTCCGGAGTTCGTCAAGTTTAGCATGGACCTCACCAACACCGAAATCACCGCCACCACTTCTCTCCCCAGCTTCAGTACCTTTATGGACAACTACAACACGAGCTACGACGTGAAGCCCCCCTGCTTGTACCAAATGCCCCTGTCCGGACAGCAGTCCTCCATTAAGGTGGAAGACATTCAGATGCACGGCTACCAGCAGCACGGCCACCTGCCCCCCCAGTCCGAGGAGATGATGTCCCACTCGGGCTCCGTCTACTACAAGCCCTCGTCGCCCCCGACCCCCTCCACGCCCGGCTTCCAGGTGCAGCACGGCCCCGTGTGGGACGAGCCCGGCTCCCTGCACAACTTCCACCCCAACTACGTGGCCACCACGCACATGATCGAGCAGCGCAAAACGCCCGTGTCGCGCCTGTCGCTGTTCTCCTTCAAGCAGTCCCCGCCCGGCACGCCCGTGTCCAGCTGCCAGATGCGCTTCGAGGGGCCCCTGCACGTCCCCATGGGCGCCGAGCCGGCGGGGCCGCACCACGGCGTGGACGGGCAGCCCTTCGCCGTGCCCGGCGGCATCCGCAAGCAGCCCTCCATGGCCTTCCCCGGGCTGCAGCTGGGCCCCGCGCCGCAGCTGCTGGACAGCCAGGTGCCCTCGCCGCCCTCCCGGGGCTCGCCGTCCAACGAGGGGCTCTGCGCCGTGTGCGGCGACAACGCGGCCTGCCAGCACTACGGTGTGCGCACCTGCGAGGGCTGCAAGGGCTTCTTCAAGGTGAGCGGGGCCGTGCGGGGCCGTGCGGGGGGCGGCGGGGGAGCCGCGGGGCCCGCAGATGGAAATGGGTTAGGACAGGGGAGTGCGTCTGAGCTAACCGTGTGGAACGGAATTCCCTGTGGTAAAATTAAGTGATCTCTTTATTTCACCATCCTGATTGAATAATCTTATCATTTTAAATAGAGGAGGTCTCCAAGGAATGTAAATAATATGAATGCCCACGGATTTGTATTTACCGAGCGTCTCTTTCCCTCCTCTTGGCATATAAAACACGGCTAGGAGCTGCGAGGTTAGCTTGGATGTTAACGCTGTCAATTTTCTCCTGTTAAATGCCCTGGGAAAAAAAAAAAAAATAAAAGGAAGGGAGGGGGGAAGGAAAAGGAAATAAAAGGGAAACTAAATAAAGGGGGAAAGGAAATAAAAATAAATAGGGAAAGGAAATTAAGGGAAAATAAAATAAATCTTAAAAGGGAAAAAGGAAATAATAGAAAGGAAAAACTTAAAAAGGAGAAGAGAATAAAGAGGAAAAAGGGGAAGGGATATAAAGGTTAAAAAGAGGAGAAGTAAAGATAAAAAAAGGAAAAGAAAATAAAGGGGGGAAAATGAAAGTGGGAACGGAAAACGAAGGGGAAAGGGAAAGAAACAAAGCGGCAAAACGGAAAGGAAAATAAAGGGGGGGAAGGAAAAAGAAAAGCAAGGGGGAAAGGCGGTAAAGGAAGCTGCGGGCAGGGGCGGGCAGGCGGCGGCGCTCCCCGGGCCGGCGCTGACGCCGCTGCCCGCCCGCTGCAGCGCACGGTGCAGAAGAACGCCAAGTACGTGTGTCTGGCCAACAAGAACTGCCCGGTGGACAAGCGCCGCCGCAACCGCTGCCAGTACTGCCGCTTCCAGAAGTGCCTGGCCGTCGGCATGGTCAAGGAGGGTGAGTGTCCGTGCGTCCGTGTGTCCGTGTGTCCGTGTGCCGGGCGCGCCCCGCGGCGCCGGCGCCGGGCTGACCCCCGTCTCTTGCAGTGGTGCGCACAGACAGCCTAAAAGGCCGGCGGGGCCGCTTGCCGTCCAAACCGAAGAGCCCCCAGGAGCCTTCTCCCCCCTCTCCCCCGGTGAGTCTGATCAGTGCGCTGGTGAGAGCCCATGTCGACTCCAACCCGGCTATGACCAGCCTGGACTATTCCCGGGTAAGCGGCACCGAGCTCGCGGAGGGACCCCGCCGCCGCCGCCCGGGGAGGGGGGTCCGGCCCCGCGGCCGCTCAGGGGGGACACGCGAGCCCGCCCGGGACCGGGACCGGGGGCTCGGCTCGGCCCTGCCCCGCCCGGGACCGGGACCGGGGGCTCGGCTCGGCCCTGCCCCGCCCGGGACCGGGACCGGGGGCTCGGCTCGGCTCGGCCCTGCCCCGCCCGGGACCGGGACCGGGGGCTCGGCTCGGCCCGCCCGGGGCTCGGCTCGGCTCGGCCCGGCCCCGCCCGGGACCGGGACCGGGGGCTCGGCTCGGCCCCGCCCGGGACCGGGCCCCCCGCGCACGGAGAGCGGCGGCCTCGGAGCGCCGTTCCTAATCGAATTAATTGCCCCCGGAACATCTAATTTCCTCACCGGTCAGAGAGAGCTTTAATTGTTATCCCAGCCCGCTCCCCGGCCAGGGACGGGGTGAGCAATTTCACGGGTTATAGACTTTAGAGAACCTCATTAAGTGCTTTTTAAAATGAATTTCCAGTTCCAGGCTAACCCCGACTACCAGCTGAGCGGTGACGACACCCAGCACATCCAGCAGTTCTACGATCTCCTGACCGGCTCCATGGAGATCATCCGAGGCTGGGCGGAAAAAATCCCCGGCTTCACCGACCTGCCCAAGACGGACCAGGACCTGCTCTTCGAGTCCGCCTTCCTGGAGCTGTTCGTGCTGCGGCTGGCGTACAGGTGAGCGGGGGTCGGGGCGCGGGCAGGGAATCAGAGCCTTTCAAGGTCCACTGCTCTGCCTTTTATTAACTCCTCGGTAATTAGGTGCCTCTTAAATCCTTCATTTATTGCTCCTCAAGTAATTAGTTGTTTAGATTTTCTCCCCCATCATCTCCTTTCTTATTATTTCTTTCCTGCTCTCTCTTGTTTTTTCTCTTTCATTCCCTCTCCTCTATTTTATCTTTCTCTCCCTCTCTGTCTTTCTTGCTCTCTTCCTTTTGCTCATTCTCTCTTTCTTTACTCTTATCTTTTGTCTTTCTCTTATCTTTTGTCTTTTTCTTTCCTTTCCTCCGTTTTCTCTTCCTATCTAATCTTCCTCCCTCTCTCATCCATCTCTCCATCAGTTCATTCTGGGGTTGTCCCCTTCCTTGCAGGTCCAACCCCGTGGAGGGGAAGCTGATCTTCTGCAACGGGGTGGTCCTGCACCGGTTGCAGTGCATCCGCGGCTTTGGGGAGTGGATCGACTCCATCGTGGAATTTTCCTCCAACTTGCAGAACATGAACATCGACATCTCAGCCTTCTCCTGCATCGCTGCCCTGGCCATGGTGACAGGTCAGTGTCCCCCCTCCTGCCCCCCGCCCGCCCCGCTCCGAGCCAGACCCGTAACGTCCGCACCCTTCTCTTTGCAGAGAGGCACGGGCTGAAGGAACCCAAGAGGGTGGAAGAGCTTCAGAACAAGATTGTAAATTGTCTCAAAGACCACGTGACTTTCAATAACGGGGGGCTGAATCGCCCCAACTATTTGTCCAAACTCTTGGGGAAGCTCCCCGAACTCCGCACGCTTTGCACACAGGGGCTGCAGCGCATTTTCTACCTGAAACTGGAAGATTTGGTGCCACCGCCAGCAATAATTGACAAACTTTTCCTGGACACTTTACCTTTTTAAGACTCTTCCCGCACGCTTCCGCTGACCCGAGGAGAAGCTCCACCTGCCTGAAGGGGAGCTGGTGTGGGCCCAGAGCAGCACCCCTGGGTGCCAGCTCCCACCCGGCCGGTGCTGCCAACTCCTGCAGGCAGAACGCGATGGGCATTTTGGCTCTGGGCCATCATGGATGCAGCTCATGGACTACACAAATACCATGGTATAAACTTTTTATTATCGGCTTCTAAATGAGTTTATGATTAAGGACTCCTGGTGCAAAGACAAGCCTGCCTGGCGGCGCCGGCTCACGCCGTGCCAAACCCAGCGCCGGGGCGCCCCGCCAGCCTCACCCTCCTAAAGACTAAAGTTTTCTGCAGCAAAAGAAAGCTGTAAAATACCCAGAGCCCAACCCTTGCGTGGGTGGCGTGGCATTAATGAAGGCGAAGGCTTGTAAATTTATCAGATGCAGTTTGGCTTTTTACAAAAAAAAAAAAAAAAAAAAGAAAAAATTCTTCTGTGCCTATTTATGATGAAAGGTGGAAAATAATTCTAAAAACAAAAATAATCAAAAATAAAAGCTAAATGTGTTTGGAAAAAAAAATTACAAAAAAAAAAAAAAAGGGAGAATTAAAAAAAAAAAAAAGAAAGAAAACCCAATCTGTCCATACCAGGGAAGCATGACGATTCCAGGGTGACAATGTTATAGGCACTTGCTATTTCAGTAATGTCTATATTCTATAAATAGTATTTCAGACACTATGTAGTCTGGTAGCTTTTATAAAGACTGGTAGTTATCTAAGCTTCAAACATTTTCTCAATTGTAAAATAGGTGGGCACAAGTGTTACCCCCGGAATCCCCCCCAAAGGGACACATAGTGTTTGTAAACACCGCCCGACACCCCTTGTTTGTAAGTGTTGTATGTACTGTTGATGTTGATTAAAGAAGAAGTTTATATCTTGATTATTTTGTTGTCTAAAGCTAAACAGATCTTGCATGCAGCAGCTTTTGACTGTTTCCAGAGTGCTTATACTATACATAACTCCCTGGAAATTACTGAGCACTTTGAATTCTTGGTTTGTTTTGTTCCATTTGTTTTTTTATGTCTAAAAATTGTCGGTTAATATATTATTTTACGTTCGAGTAATATTTTTAATATTGCCATATTCTGTAGTATTTTTCTTTGTATACCCCGGTTTGGCACACGGGAAAGTCGCTGCCTTTTTTTAATATGGTGTACGACAGTTAGAAACGCGGATTATTATTATTATTATAATTATTATTATTATTATTATTTTTTCTCCCGAGAACTCTTTCTTTGAGAAAGACAATTTTAATGTTTACAACAATAAAACATGTAAACGAATCGAATTTCGTCTCCTTTCTGCCGAAGTGCGAAGCTGCTCCGCCAGCCCCCGCCGCACCCAGGGGACAAAAGCCTCTGCCCGTGCGGCGATCCCGGAGCGGCGATGGCCGGGGCCGCTCCCGCTCGGTGCCGCCGGCTCCGCGGGAGGAAGAGGAGGAAGAGCCGCGGCTCGGAGGTTGGTCCTTCCCCGCGTTTCAGCACGCTCGGTCCCGCCGCACCCAGACCCCGCGTCAGGACCCGCATCCTGCGCCATCCCTCCCTCCCTCCCTGCCTCCCTCGTCCCGCGCCGGCGTTTGCTCAGGCGCATCCCTTCGTCGGGGGGCCAATTCCTCAGCAAAACACCTTTCATGGAGGAGTTTCACTGCCAAACCCGCGCCCGCGGCGGCGGAGGGGCTCGGGGGGCAGGACGGGCAGCGGGGACCGGGGAGCGCTGTCCCAGAGCCCGGGGCTGCTGCCAGCCTTGGGTCGGGGCGGCTCTCGGAGCCCCGCGGGGGCCGGGACCGGGATGCGCTCACCGGGGTCCCGCTCGTGCAGAGGGAGGGGGAACCCGAACTCTGCTGGTTCGGCCGGTGGGGACGGAGCTTCAGCCTCTCGCCTCGGGAGCCAATATAACGCCCTCGGGAGGGGGAGCGAGCCACGACCGTGATCGGTTTTGCTCCTCTGTGCCGCACGTCCCGCGGTGTCCAAAACCCCACGGACACGGCTGAGGGGCAGCCTCTTCCCGCAGCAGGCGGGCAGCATCCCGGGGTGTGCTGTATCCCAGCCCGGTGCTGTATCCCCGGTACCGCCTTCCCGTCCCGGTGCTGTACTCCCGTCCCGGTGCCGCAAGCCCATCGCGGTGCTGTAACCCCATCCCGGAGCCGCATCCCCATCCCCATCCCGGTGCTGTAACCCCATCCCGGTGCAGCATCCCCGTCCCGGTGCCGGTGCCACACGCCCATCCCGGGGTGCCGGGGTCTGCGATCCGCGGCTCTGCAGCCCCCGGTGCGGGCGAGCCCCGGGTACCCGGTTTGCCGGGGAAGGGGCTTCGCGGCTCGGCCAGGCGAAAAATCCCGAGAATGAAGAGTTGTAAGGAGGAATCAAAGTCGGTGCCGTGGCGGGCCCGTGCTGTGCGGGGACAAGGAGCGGGGCTGGGGCAGATGCGGGCGCTGCCCAACTCATCCCGAGCGGGGTCTGGAACTCGGGATCACCACGGGCACGGGGCTGGAGTAGCTGTGGCTTTAACCTAAACAGTGCACGTGGAATACGGGTATGCCCTAAATATACAGAGAGAATACAGACATTCCTTCAATGCGTGTAAATAAATATGAAAGCGTAAATGTCTATGCTCTAGAAGGGGTTTAAAATGCAAAAAGAAAGACAAAAACCCGTGTATAGAAAGAATTTAACAACTCGATCCCCCTCTAAATATCCCCCAGCTGCTCCCAATCCCTCCCAGAAATCAGCTGCTCCCACCGCTCTAATCAGCGCCCTTTGCAGTAACTTTTCTAACAGGTTTAACCCTCTGCACCTGGGCAGAGCAGAATTTATCCTTCCCGGGCGGCCATTTCACACCTGCCGCGCCTTTTCCCCCGCAGTTCAGCTCCCCCGGCCGTGTCCCGCTGCGGGAGGAGCGGAGGAGCCGAGCCCGGAGCGAGCGGCCCGGCCGGACACGGGCACCGAGGTGGGCTCGGGCAGGGGCAGGGCTGCAGAGCGGGGCACGGCCTCTCTGGGAGCTGCAGAGCGGGGCACGGCCTCTCTGGGAGCTGCAGAGCGGGGCACGGCCTCTCTGGGGGCTGCAGAGCGGGGCACGGCCTCTCTGGGAGCTGCAGAGCGGGGCACGGCCTCTCTGGGAGCTGCAGAGCGGGGCACAGCCTCCGTGCGAGCTGCCTCCCTGCCTTCCGCAGGCTCCGGCGAGGCAGGAGAGCGAGGGGGGAATGCTGAGCACTGTGCAGAGACGTTGGGAAAAACGCTCAGAGTAGGAGCTCAAGGCAGAATGTGGAGCTGGAGGAATGATTTTTTAACTGGTGGTATCAATGGGAGGATTTATTAAATGGTTTCACTTCTCCGGGCTCGCAATATTCCAGATCAATAGCTATCTTAATTATTTTAGCCGCGCGCTGCTGCTGGAATTTGTTACTGCTCGTTCTGCTGGGCTCGCGTGAGGAGCAGCCAGACCCATCCCGGTTTGTTCCCTCGGAATTCCAGCTTTTGTGGCTCCTTACCAACCCGCCGGGCTGATCGGAACCCAGCGTTCTGTTCTGCTCCCGCTGTTTTCCGTGGAGTTACTCCTCGGGTGCACCGAGGTGTAAGGGTGGAGTGCGTTCGCTTTGTCTGGAGGCCGCCCTGCCGCACACACGGGAGGCTCCCTGCTCCTCCCAGGGCTGGCACCTTCCTCCTCCCGCTGTGCGCGGCTGAGGGGGCTGCCCCAAGGCACAATTCTCCCAAACATGCCGAAATCTCCAAACCTGACAAGGGAACCGGGGCTGGGCTCAGGCCAGGTGCGTGCCGCTCGCCCCGCCTGTTGTGTTCCGCAGTCCCGGCCGCGTTTTCCGGCGGCTCTGGACGATGCAGCGATGCCCTGGGTGTGTTGAGCTCCGAGTGCCACCGAAGGGGGCTGGCAGAAATGCCAGCTGGAGCCTCGGGCCGGGCCGTGTGCGCTGCTCCTGCTCCCGGTGGGAGCCGTGCCGCTTTGGGAGCGCAGCCGGCAGCGCTCGCTCCCTGCCTCCTCATCCTCACCTGCGCGTCCCTGCCTCCTCATCCTCACCTGCGCGTCCCTGCCTCCTCATCCTCACCTGCGCGTCCCTGCCTCCTCATCCTCACCTGCGCGTCCCTGCCTCCTCATCCTCACCTGCGCGTCCCTGCCTCCTCATCCTCACCTGCGCGTCCCTGCCTCACCATCCTCACCTGCGCGTCCCTGCCTCCTCATCCTCACCTGAATGCCGGCAGAACTCGCGGCTGGGGCGGCCCGAGCTGGGAAATTCGTGTTTTATGTGATTTTACCCTCCTGGCTTTTCTGTAGCGGGAGAAATCCCCGGACTGGCTGCGTGCAAAATGCACCTCGGATGCACCTGTAGCTGATTTTTTATGTATAAGTAAACCCCGTGCTGCATAATCTGCACTTGTGAAACGTTAGCCCTGAGTAACCTCTGCAGCTGGGGATGGTGCAGAGGGAGATGTTGGTATTCATGAATGTTTTGACATATTTGACATTTCCTATATGGTGTGCTTTCTCTGCTTTCCTGATTTCCTCCTGTCTCTGCTCCCCTGGTTGAGCAGTGAAGAGTTTCCCACTCTGGTGCTGTGGCACAATGTAGAGAAACTGGAGCTTTGTGGGTTTGTTTTTTTTTTTAATTTCTTATTTAAAAGTATATGCCTATCAAAACAGTGGCATTACTGCATTCTGATGGGATTGTTGCATTTTATCGGGGCCAAATGCAGCAATGTCCCGGCAGGGGTGGCCAGGAGGGCTGGTTTAGATAAAAAGGTGCTTTGTGCTCTGCTCCCAGGGCAGCCTGTCCGGGCTGCAGGCCCTGGGGGATGCCTGCACGGCTGGAGCTCCTGCAGCAGGGACAGGGACAGGTTTGGAGGGGTGGGACTCGGGCAGGGCAGCGCTGCTGGAGCCAGGAGGAGGCTTGGGCTGGCTCCAGCTCCTGCTCTTTGCTGCACCTGGGGCAGGTGCCAGGCCGAGGGACTCGGGGAAATCTGCTCTTGGAGCAGTGTGGCAGCACCTTTCATTGAACAGGCCTCTTGTCTAGCCATATGATTTCTGACTTTTATTCAAGTCTTTATGATTCTCTGTCAGAAACCAAACCTCATCTGTAATTTTGGGACCACCATTAGGATGAGAATTTCCCATGGCAAACCTCAGGTGTTTTGGTCACTTCAGCCTTTCCTCCTCAGCTCCTCGTTTACAGCTGAGCTGCTTTGCTGAGGTGGAGGAGTTTAATTCAGGTGAATGTTCCCGCTGAGGAGAAGCGGTGTTGGGCCAGGTTTTGTGTGTGGGCCCTCAGCTTTTCTGTGCAACCCCCTTGGGGCTGGAGCTGGGGCCCTGCCCAGCTGTGGGGTCACTGGGGTGGCTCTGGCAGGCTCTGGTTGTTCTGTGTGTGCTGGGCTGATGCTCTGGCTGAGTTAATGGCTTTG